GATGGGGGGTGGGGGATGGATGGTGGATGGATGGATGGATGATGGATGGATGATGGATGATGGATGGATGGATGGATGGATGATGGATGATGGATGGATGGATGGATGGATGATGGATGATGGATGATGGATGATGGATGATGGATGATGGATGATGGATGATGGATGGATGGACGGATGATGGATGGATGGATGGATGGATGATGGATGGATGGATGGATGGACGGATGATGGATGGATGGATCCATGGATGGGAATTCCAGCTGGCAGCATCCCAGTCAGGGATGCAGGTCTGGCTTTATCCGGTTTCCAGCTGTTGGGAAGAGCTGGACACAGCAGTGCTGTGCACAGAGATCTGCTGACATCTACAGGGCATTCCAGAAATTCCAAGGAATCAGGGAATTCCAGAACAATTGGGGTTGCAAAGGAACTTAAGGATCATCCCATCCATCCCATTCCATGGGACATCTCCCACTGTCCCAGGCTGCTCCAAGCCCCTCCAACCTGACCTTGGCCACTTCCAGGGATTCCATAATTCCCTGATGGAATCTTCCCACGGCTTTTCCAGAACTATTTTTCCCCAGGACAAGGGTGGGGGGCACTCGGATGTCTCCCATCCAAGGAAAAACAGGGAAAACCACCAAAAATTCCCTACAGGGAGATGGTTGGGCCCCCAGCCCAGGTGTTTTCCCACCAGAGAATCCAGAGGGAATCCAGAGGGAATCCACAGGTGCATCCCAGCACGGAGCAGGAGAGCCAAGGAGCAGGAAGAAAGCTGGGAATGGAGGAAGAATCCAGGAATTTTCCAGCTGCTCCAGAATGGAGCTCCTGCAGGTGGAAAATCCTGAGGGAGGAGCAGGAAGCAGTGGGAAGCAGCAGATCCCGGCAGAGGGACAAGGATCCATCACCCTGGGAATGATCCAGCGGGAAAAAAAGCAGCAGGATGTGGGAATTAGCGGGAACAGCTCCTCTTATCCCAGCCGGAATCTTGTGTTGGCTCCAGCTGTTTCTCCTCGGGATAAAACCTCTTCGGAATTGAGCCAGAGGATTCTCCCAGAGCCACAAGGAAGTTTTCCAGGGAAAATGTGGGATCAGCTTGGCAGATCCCAGCCGCTCACCTTATCCAGAGGGACAGGGTTGGGATCACCCCAGGAACCGGGAGCACGCAATAACCTGGATCAGCCCATCCCAGGAACTGTGCTCGACCTGCTGTGGCCACCTCCAACTTCATGGATTCAATCCCACCCCAGCTTCCATGGATTCAATCCCACTCCAACTTCCATGGATTCAATTCCACTCCAACTTCCATGGATTCAATCCCACCCTAGCTTCCATGGATTCAATACCACTCCAAATTTCCATGGACTTCATCCCACTGCTCCTCTTCCCGCTCCTCTGCAGGACAAGGGACAAGGTTTTCCACACGGAACTGTTTTATTAGGAAAAGATCCATTAACCATAAAAAACCCCAAAAGGAGGAGCGGGAAAAGCTCCCGGAGCGTCGGGAAATTCCGGGAGCCGAGCAAATCCCACACGGAACTCAGCCAGATGCGGAGCAGCCAACGATTCCCAAGCCTTCCCATGGGAATTCCAGGGCTGGCCGTGGATATTCCCGAACCCTCAGAACCTCGAGGAGTCTCTGCACAGGAACCAATCCCTGGGAAATGATCCTGATTTTCCAAGGGCTGTTGGAATCTCCCTCCTTTCCCAGCGAGTCTGGATTGATTTTTCCAACCCCAGCCCAGAGTTTTCCCACTTTTTCTTGCTCCAAGGAAGTTCCAGCGAACTGGGGAGGGTCTGTCCAGCTCCCATCAACCCCCCACGATCCCAGGATTGGGGAATTTTGGGAAGAGGGATGAGCGGGGAGGGCCACGGGGCCGGCACGAGGCAGATCCGGATCCCATTCCCGATGGATTCTCCTCAGTCGGAGTCGCTCCCGTCCTGCTTTGCGGATCCCACGGCCGAGGCCAGCTCCTCCTCCTGCCCCTTCAGGCGCTCTCCTGCCGGGAGAAAAGCCATGGAAAAGGGATGGATCGGGATGGATTGGATCGGGAGCGAGCCGGAAGGACCCCAGAACCCTTCCCTTGGCACAATCCAAGTGTTCCCGGAGCCTCCTTGGGACCAACGGCTTCCCGGATCCGTTTGGGAAGGGATCAAACCCCGCCTGGATCCCTGGAAGTGCCCAAGGATCAAACCCCACCTCCCCGGCCCAGAGCTCCCAGCGCGGATCCCGGGATCCCTCTGGAATGAGCCATCCCCCGTTCCCGCGGCTCCGGAACGCACGGATCAGCTCCGCGATGGCTCGCTGCGTCCTCTTCTCCAGCTTTTCCAGCTTCTTGGACACGTCCCGCTTCAAATCCCTGCGAGGAGAGCGACGAGGTCGGGACAATTCCATGGCCAGGCAGGACCCAGCTTTCCCACCGGGAATTCCTTCTCTTTCCCAAGAGCCACCACTCCAAAACCAGCCCAGGATTTCCAGCTCTGGAAATCCACATCCAGATTTCCAGCTCTGGATTCCCAGCTCTACATTCCCAGATCCAGATTCCCACATCCAGATTTCCAGCTCTGAATTCCCATATCCAGATTTCCAGCTCTGGAATTCCCACATCCATATTCCAGCTCTGGAATTCCACATCCAGATTTCCACCTCTGGATTCCCAGCTCTACATTCCCAGATCCAGATTCCCATATCCAGATTTCCAGCTCTGAAATTCCCATATCCAGATTTCCAGCTCTGGAATTCCCACATCCAGATTTACAGCTCTGGAATTCCACATCCATATTCCAGGTCTGGAATTCCATTCCAGATTTCCCAGCTCTGAATTCCCATATCCAGATTTCCACCTCTGGATTCCCACATCCAGATTTCCACCTCTGGATTCCCAGCTCTACATTCCCATATCCAGATTCCCAACCCAAATTTCCAGCTCTGGATTCCCACATCCAGATTCCCACATCCAGATTCCCACATCCAGATGCCAGCTCTGGAATTCCATATCCAGATTTCCAGCTCTGGATTCCCATATCCAGATTTCCAGCTCTGGAATTCCACATCCAGATTTCCAGCTCTGGATTCCTAATCTGGATTTCCAGCTCTGGATTCCCACATCCAGATTCCCACATCCAGATTCCCACATCCAGATTCCAGCTCTGGAATTCCACATCCAGATTTCCAGCCCTCGGTGACGAGCATTCCAAAGAATCAGCTGGAAAAGGGAATTCTGTCTCCCTCCACAGCCAGGTTTTCCAATTCCATGGAATCATGGAATGCTCGGGGTTGGAAGGGTCCTTAAAGCTCAGCTCATCCCGACTTCCCACGGGATTTTCCTGGCATTTCAAACCCTCAGTTTTCTCCTGGATATTCCCAGCATGACATCGAGGTGTTGGAACCCCCCCGGTGATTCCAAGGCCCTTTTCCCGGGAGCGGCATTCCATCGGCACTCACCAGTCGGGTTTCCTGGGAGCCAAATTTGCCAGGTCCTAGGGAAGGAGAGGAGACATCCAGTGAATTCCAAAGGCAACATTCCAGCCTGGGCCTGGCATGGAGCAGCTCCGCATTCCCAATCCACATTCCCAGCTCCGCATTCCCACATCCACATTCCCAGCTCCGCATTCCCAATCCACATTCCCAGCTCTGGAATTCCACATCCACATTCCCAGCTCCGCATTCCCAATCCACATTCCCAGCTCCGCATTCCCACATCCACATTCCCAGCTCCGCATTCCCAATCCACATTCCCAGCTCTGGAATTCCACATCCACATTCCCAGCTCCGCATTCCCAATCCACATTCCCAGCTCCGCATTCCCACATCCACATTCCCAGCTCTGGATTCCCAATCCACATTCCCAGCTCTGGATTCCTAATCTGGATTCCCAGCTCTGGATTCCAAATCAGATTCCCAGGTCTGGATTTCCCCACCCAGATTTCCAGCTCTGGATTCCCAGCTCCAAATTTCCACATCTGGATTCCCAATCCAGATTTCCAGCTCTGGAATTCGACATCCAGATTTCCAGCTCTGGATTCCAATCCGGATTTCCAGCTTTGGATTCCCAATCCAGGTTTCCAGCTCTGGATTTCCAGATCTGGATTCCCAATCCACATTCCCACATCCACATTTCCAGCTCCACATTCCCACATACAGATTTCCAGATTCCCAGATCAAATTTCCAACTCTGGATTCCCAATCCAGGTTTCCAGCTCTGGAATTCGACATCCAGATTCCCAAATCTGGATTCCTGGCTCCAGATTTCCAGCTCCGGATTCCTAATTTGGATTCCCAGCTCTGGAATTCCATATCCGGATTTCCAGCTCTGGATTCCCTGATCCAGATTTCCACATCTGGGTTCCCAGCTCTGGATTTCCAATCCACATTCCCAGCTCCACATTCCCACATCCACATTCCCAGCTCTGGATTCCCAACCCAGATTTCCAGCTCTGGATTCCCAGATCCAGAGTCCCAGATCTGGATTCCCAGCTCCAAATTTCCAGTTCTGGATTCC